ATCTTTCATTCACAAACGAACAGTTATTTCTGCTTTAAGAAACCAGGAAATCGAGTGATCTTTTGTCTTGTACAACCTGATCTCACTAAGGCACGTTAAGTAAAAGAAAGGACATAATAATGAATAATTCACATATATATATATGAATATGATTACGCCCGCTTTTGTGAAGGTACAAGAGGACAGCCATCGACACTATTAATCCAACTACAACGGAAAAAAGACCGAGTTGAATCATATTGCACAATCTTACCTTCCTCCCTTATTTACAGCGGCCAACGGTGTGTCACATCTAGCACGTATCCATCAATTCTGTGGTGCACGTCACCATCACGTTGCGAGAGAAAAGACGCAAGAATATAACGAGTGTGTTTTTGGTAGTTATTCAATAACTTATTTTACAATCATTTAGGATATCATTTTACTTTGATTAGTGACAGTAGAGGAGGAGCAAAAGTGAAAATGCGTGGATACTTGAAACACAGAACATTTCATAAATGATTAAAACATACATTTACGATAACTTACAATCTGCAGTGGTCAACAACTTCTGAAATCTTGCAAACTTCCAGCAATTCTGTAAGACTGACAACCATGTTGAGACGGGACAGGTTTCAAAATGGGACCACCCCGGTCGTATATAGTTAGAAAAGAAGTACATATTGTTTAGTAATGGATAAAATGTTACAGTGCCGCCGGAATCTCCCCTTACTTACCCTCCGGGTTGCTGCGGGTTGTGCGGACGGCCTGGCTCGGTAACTATGGAAATAACATTGTCATCCATTCGCTGTTTGGTTTCTGTTAACAATAGTTCCATACCCTGCCCGTCGGGCAATTATCGTGACAAAATTTCTGCTAACAAAAGAGCCTAACCCTAGCTCGCTGAGATAAAGATCGAAGGTGAGCGTGGTCGCAATTAAGTGTTCGTCCAAGCGTTAATTGACCTTTAATGCGCGGTGGCTTCACTCTACTATGATCACACTACTCTGATACGGAGATTTTAAGTATAAGAACTTGCCAACAGTGATTTTTAAAAGTCGCTTTACCAAAAAGATTCGGTGATGACAGCTATTTTCGTGTACATTGTAGCTATGAATTGATTGAATTTACATAGAGTTTAATAAATGAATTTATGAATTTATTAAAGATCAAATAAAACACTACTCGTACTTGTACATGTAATATTTATTATGCTTCAAACTGTCTTTACTATATACATATTATTAACAAGATTGAAATTATTTTTATGTCCTTATATTTCTATTAGCTTTGTTCATAGACGAAATGCATTTTTTCCAAAAAGACTTGTCAGTTGTTTCAGTGATAAACATTTTGTTAGCCATATCTTTAATATACTTCAGTCTATATTTGCATATAGGATCTCGCCCATCTACACCCGTAACATTTCTGTCCTTTCGTATTCGTTCATCAATCGTAAACAACCTTCCCATCAACTGAACGCAAAAGTTGCCTGGTGAACTGGCCCGTTGTCGAATTTCGAATATTTCTTTATTTGACAAGGCGAGAGGTGGCCGGCCGAAAGACGAATTCCTTGATTTTGTAGGACACAAAGTAGGAACTGTGTACGTGACCGGTGGCGGTAAAGTTGTGCATGTAGACCTCAACGGTAAGGGTGTCGCACAGAGGCTTGGGAAAGGAGGAGGAGGCGGCGGTGTCACACATGGACTTGGAAATGGAGGTGGCGATCTAAAGCCCAAACTTAACCAAAGGCCTTCTTCATACTTAAAAGCATCAAAAGAAATTAATTTAAAAAGCTGGATTACAATCTCTCGGGCTAACTTCACTGGTTGGCACGTGTCATCTCACATTAATTAACAATCAGTTCAGGTTAGCTTTATTCATGCTGGGTAAACACAGTGATTAAGCCCTGACTATTACATAATCAATACTGTGTGACACGCGTCGTCTAAAATTAATGTTAACATTGCGATGACACTCTTTAATCCAAACTAATCAACTGGTCACGTGTCAACAGGATTGTTTATGTATCTGGACTTCCTAAATGGCCAAAAAGTATTTTGTTTAATATGACATGTTTATGTCACTGATTTCCATGCCATCGTGTCAGCTGCCAAGTAAACGGTATAAATCGACACTCAAATTTTTGTTTGATATTGCCGATAAGCCACGAAGTAGACGTATCTCAAAGGTTGACCTGCGCCACATGAACGTTATAGACGAGGAGTTGACCAAAAATGACGAATTGGTGACCTTAAAACTAAAAACACGTCTCTTTGAGCGAACAGGTAATTTTTAGTTCGATTATATTATACGTGTTTTAAAACTAAGCCTGATTTGTTCTTCAGACTTTTGTTCTAATATTCGACTTGCCTTTACTCGAGTCTTCTGTTGCAGTTGATACATAACCCGGTATTGTTTGCTCGTGTCGATAGCAATCTCTATGCATCAGCTATAATAGAAACCTTAAGTGAGGCAATTAAGAAGGGGCAGACCGTGTTCGTTAAACCGACTAATTTGGGTGTCCGATAAGGATTGCTGGGGGATTCCCCTACCCTGTAATTATCATACGGCCTCTATTGTTTGACCATGTGGGGCAGGGTTGGGAAACCATACGGCCATTTGGTAAGGGGAGATTCCGGCGGCACTGTACAAATCATTGTGAATTACCACAAACGCGAGTGGATTTAAATTCCGTTGAGAGGAATTTTCAGTCTAGTATAGTAGAAATGCACAGGTTGCACAAGAGCAAGTTTGTATAAATGATATTTCAAGACAGATCATGCCTAGTAAGTACAGTTGTATATATCGAATACATTTAAACTGAGCCTCGAAGTAATCTGCTGAAATATCGTTTCCAGAGAAAAAAATACCCGCGGCAAATTATAGCTCATTTTTGTTAGTAGTTATACTTAGATATAATGTTATTTGAGTGTTGTATGTGGAACAATCATATGATGTATGATTTTTAGATCTGCACCAGACGTAAGAGTATGAATGAGGGTCTTAGATGAGGTATAATGATACTGTCATACCGGAAGCTCATGCATGGAGTATTACGTGTAAAGGGCATTTTAAATAATAAGTATTATATCCTATAATCACAAAATCCTAGCAACTCAGGCGCAAACTGACGGATACTGGACATGTTTAAATTAAGAAAAAGAAAAATGTTTATCCTTCTCCCACTCACACCAATGTAATACTTCGAGAGATACGCGTTTCCTTTCGGTGCATTTACTGCCCTACGCCTATACTTTATTATCAGTGTGATGTTGACGTTCGTTTATATTACTGTCAGTCAACCCACCTCAAGAAAGGTAGAAATTCCTTTGAAAGATGACTGCGATTGACGTTTGTTTATGTAACCATCAATCAACCGTCCGTATGTGAGCTTTGATTGACACCTATAAGGGAAAATTTGCAGCAGCTCTCACCCCAACTAGGTGGACGTAATGGAGTTTGCTCGGAGTCATTGGTTGCCACGTAAAAGATACTGAACCTATCGTCAGCTGCCAATCACCTAGGGCTCTCAATACAGAAATGCATTGTATTTTTCACACCACAGCCATTGGCGTAAGGCTCCTATTTTTTGACACACCATCGTGCTCAATCTTGATTGTACGAGAAAAAAATAATATTCAACAATGTGCCATAACTTTAAAAACAATTTTCTGTGTGTTGATATCTTATGAAAAATGTGAATTGCCCGAGAGATCAGTCAATCTTTTGTCTTTCATTTGCACTAACCCATCTGTTCAAAATGTAAAATTAAATGCATGGGTCTGTGCGTGTGTGTGGGCGTACATGCATGTTTTGCGCTCTTGTTCAATTCCATGTTCCGTCTTATCTCCGGATTTTCATACTGAATATGTTAATAAATAGGTATAGGGGTCATCGGAAGGTAGGAAGAACTGAGCTCCCCCACCCCGCCCCGCTCGGACTCTTTTCAACCACAACAGTCATACAGCTTGGCTAGCTGCTTCAATACATCGTTGTGTAAATGCACGCGTGTGCGTGTACATGTATATTTGTTTGTTTTAAAACAATGACAACGAAGCTGAAGCTGACGAAAAATGAATATTTATTGCGCCTGAAAATATCAGCAATTATAAAGTCAGTCTTATCAGAGTTTGTAATATCTGTGCATTGTGCAACATATATGTTTGCCCATAGCCTTTCAAGTAATAACTTCAAAGGCTTATGGACATACATGTGTATTGCACAGATTATACAATAGGTAAGTGACACTTCGAATTAAAGGGTGTATTCCCAGAGGTTTAGATCGATCCAGGGATTAAGATTTAGATCGACCTAACTCCCTGGGGGTTCACGCTAAATTGCAGTCAGCCGAGCGCACACCATAGTTAATTACCCCTTTACAGCTTTTAGTAGGCGGGTCAGACGCTTAAGCCGGCTAAGCTGACAGTAATGTAGTAAGACTCCCCACAGGGATAGATCGATCTCAAATCTATGGAAATGGGGTCAAAGTGTGTCTGTAGCTAGTTTTCTATGCGAGCACATACACTGTAAATGCACTGCAAACTACAATTGACCCACAAAAATAAATTAATGAAAATAATAATGTAAATATTAAAAAGTATAACTATGTGCGATAACAATGTTAAGTTTTACTGAAGGAGGTTGGCATTCTTCCTACATGCACATTGATACCGGTACATTTACACTTGCTGAACAAAGTGCAGGGTTTGGCCGTGGCACGGATCCATTTATTTATGTATACATGTAGCTCGTGTTTGCGAATGAAGTGATAGTATATATTTCTTTAATCTAGAATAATTAATTTTTCTTGGGTAATTGATATCAATTAGAAACAATGTTTAGTAATACTTTTATCTAAATAATTGATAATTCTTGGATACATGTAACTGAAAATGGCACTTAGAATGCTTAGTACTGATCTTAAGCCTTCAACTGCGTTTTGTCTATAGGGACGGAATCATTTGCCTAGATGATATTGTTCTGGTTGAGGGGTACCTTTCCTTTTGACGCTAAGAATATTATTTCTTTTCAGGGAGCTCAAACTCCTGTCCGATAGGTTGAATATTCCTGCCTTTCAAGGGCGGTAAAACTTTTCGGGGTTGGGATGGACGGAAACTAAAAGAAAACTGGTGCTGTACAGGGGGAGGACTGCAAATGTTGACATCTTCCGTGTGATCTTTGACAGCGGAATCATACCCAGGAATCCGAGACAAATACGTCGTGTTTCCGTCTGGCTTTGCGTTCGGTGGCAATCTATGTTTCTTGTCAAGCTCTTGCACCTCCCAGTGTGAACGTAATGATGAGACACTGGGGGTGCACTCCTGCGTCTCCCCGACATACTTAACGGCATTCACTCGAACCTTTCTTTTCTGGTGCCACAGGCAGCGTTGTATCATAAACACTAACAGGCCAAGTACCAAGAGCGCCCCAACTACTCCTACGCCTGCTTGGAATCCCATCGTTTGGTACCATGCTTTGAAAGTTGCCCGCCCGACAGTACCTGATTAAGGTATAGTACTGTTAAGAATAAACCAAATTAACTATCATAAAACCAATCTTGATCTGGGTCAATACACTTACACAATACAAATGTGCACTTGGCTCAGTTGTAAAATCTTTATGCAAAAAGTGTAATCAATTTAAAATTGTCATTAACAAATTTCACCATTAAAATTATAACTATATTTCCAAGTAATAATGTCACTGTAAATAAAATAGAAACAGCATTAAACATATGATCCACCCACATTCGACATCTTACAAAATTAAAACAACATTTACTTGGCAATCCCCTTTATTCAGTTCGCCACAACATCTGTACATACCATTTGCAGGTGTTGTTACCGCTGGTTTTGTTGTGGTCATGCCGCCGTGCTCTTCACTAAGCGTCTTTGTCGAGCCTGAATAGAAAAAAGTAAAACATCACAAAAACATCACGAAAACATCACAAGTAAGACCCACTGAACTGATCAAATTTATCATGATCAACAGTTGACACAGAGATTGCATTGCTGCCCTGTACCCATTAGCCATGCCTGTTTTCTGTTTTCATTTACCTTGTCTTGTATATTGAGGAAGTGCACACTGAACATTTCACACACACACGCGCACGTTTGCGCGCGCGCGTAAAACTCCAACAAAGGGAAACTAATGATTTTCCAACTCAAACGGTATTTCAGTCGTAAGAATCACTCTTGCAAGTATAAGATAAAAAAACAGTTCTCCTTTACACTGCTTATGGTGGTAGTGCACAAAATATTGCCGTCCAATATTGTACCACCAGCAAAATTATAAGCTCTTTCAAGTTATTAGGGCCGGAAAATTTGTAAAGCACAGTTTATGGTGGGAAGATAGCAAAATGTCTAATTCAAGGTCACAGTTAGATTTTCAGTTAGAAGTTGAATGTGGATTTTTCTGTAAGTTTTGGAAATATACACGTTATTTAAAAAATTTTTTCACCGTTGAGCATTATGGCATTTGTACTTATTTAATCACTTAATCTTCTGAAACAGCATAACTCCTTAACCGTATGGAAAAAGAAATAACTTATTTACGCCGCATTCACACCCAAATTTATTCACGGACTAACATACCTGAGGATCAAATACGGCCGACCCACTTGAAAGCCTGTCGCGTAATTCCAGCGGGGAATCTATTTATTGTCTATTAAGTGATTGCATGGCAAGTTTTAAAAGTTCGGAGATATATAATCCGCGGATCTGTTAGTTCGCGGATCAACTTGTTCTGCACGCACCTTTACAGTGTTGCACTTGACAAGCTCTTCAAAATGCATCAAACAAGAGGTCTCTAGCTTACGTTTTCCGAATGAGAGAAAAGTTTCAGTGTCGGCATCTTATTGCTGCTTCTCCCGTGAATAAGCACCGACATAAAATCAAGATGATAAAAGGTGGTCTCAAGTGTAACTTCTCACCATAATATCAAAACTTACCTCCATTCAGTTTTTGAAAATAGTCTCAAAAATGTTTTTTCCACAGATAATTTGATCTTGAAATATGGCTCAAAGGTCAAATCCAAGGTTATATTTGAAAAAAAAAAATCCACATAAATGTATGACTTTCGGTCAGAACGCTATGAACCTTTCCCATACTTTATCGGTTTGGGAGATACTCAGCAATTAATTTTCAATATGCTGAGAAACAAAACGTTATTTTCGAAACATGGTCTAACTTTCGAACTCGACCTGTATTTTATGAATATTCATCATTTCTGTAAGTCTGAAGACAAGGGGTAAAGTGGTTTTCCACTTATCACTATACATCGTCTCAACAATATTTTGAAGTTTAAAGTTCTATATACATGTATGCCTTGCATCACTGCGTCGAGAATACAACATTGAATCAACATCACATTAAGGCGGAGTTTTGATGTGACTGGATTCACGTTGACTCGGCGTTGAATTTAGGCCGATCAATGGCCCAACCTGTTTATAACGTTGATCCAACGTCACTAGGACGTTATATCTAAAAGTGCACGGCGACGACAGATGTAGGTGATGGCATCATAGACAGACACGATGCGTCCGTACATAATAAAATACATAACTGGTGTGCAGACATACCTGTAAAATTACTCAATCAACTCTTCTAAACACCAGATACCGGTATGTCGGTATTTAAAAAAAATCTCGTTTACATTATTTAAAAGGTTGTTGAACGGGTGGTGCTTTAAACTAACCATAGAAAGCCGCAGACAGGTTGTATATTCCATCCATATTTGTTGACATTGTCTCTTGATCAGTTTCTGAAAATCCAGGCAAAGACGAGGTCGATGTAGAGGTTAAGGCACCGCTTGGTGTTTCTGCGACGTGCCTGTATACTGTTATTACGACGGGTAAGATGGCGGATCTTGGTGGTTCACCTCCATCTTCCGCTACTATGAAGACTTCGTACCGAGACTGAGCCGGGTATCGCATCACTGTCAACTGTCCAGTGTCCTGGTCGACAGCAAAGGTATCATTAGGGTTTTTATCACCAGTAAGTGAGTAATGAACCCTACCGTTTGACCCGCTGTCTACATCTGCTGCTACAAACGTCCCAATAATACGCCCTAAAGCTCCAGAGACATCCAGAAGAATATCTGGGAAAATTAACAACTGAAACTCTGGCGCGTTATCATTCACATCAAGGACGGTGATAGAAACTTTGGCGGAAGCGCTTTTGGGTGGCCCACCCTTATCAGTCGCAACTACTGTCATAATAAACTCTTTCTGGGCAAGGTTCTCGAAGTCCAAAGTAGTAATAATCAGGATATGTCCCTGGTTGTCGACACTGAAGAAACCTGCGCCGTTACTACCGTACATGGAATACGACAGTTCGCCATTTCGTCCTGCATCGGCGTCTATAGCACTTACATTTGTGATATTATTCTGAAATATGATGGCAGACCCTTGAACAGTGTTCTCAAGTATGCTGGCATTGTACCATTCATGTGCAAAGGAAGGACTGTGAATGTTTGGACCAATGTGGACAGAGCAGTTATCGCCTTCGTATTCATCAAAGCATTCACACTGGTTCGCTGAAACACATGTACCATGGCCGGAGCAATCGGAAACGTTAGCACAGACGGGTTGGTCACAGCGGGCTCCCAGCCAGCCAGTCAAACACTGACATGTGTCGAATGACACACATTGTCCATTGTCTGAAATATTTCATGTTATTGATGAGCCAATAGAAAAGATGTTCAATGCAATAAATAATCAAAAAGATAAGATATAACTATTTTTAAGTTTTCTAGGACAGAATAACCGCTTAGAAGTTGTTTGTGATGTGAACTAAAACCATTATGGTGACAGATAATGTACAACATACTGTTACAGGAAGTTGGTTTACACGGAATCTATTAAAGAAGCGTGAAAATAAAACGCTGTGTATACACAAATGAATTTCTGTTTGTGTCTCAGTTAGCCCTTAGCTTCATTTGTAATACAGCGTTAATACTGGTCACAAGTTTCAGAAAATAACCAAGATAGCGGGAGGATCTACTTAAAGACACGTACGTCTAGCTGTGTACAATACACAACTTTCTGGGGAAAAAGATGCTTACCAGAACAGTAACTAAGGGCTTCACATGAAAAATTGGAACAGTCACTCCCTGAAAAGCCTTGTTCACAGTCACATAGATTAGGCTCCAAACACACGCCGTTCCCTGAGCAGTTGTTCACGGAGGAGCATGACACAGTAGCACAGGTGGCGCCACTGTAGCCATCATAACACCTAGATTTGTTAATTAATTAAATTGGCAATAAAATTGGACATGCATCTTAAGATTGTGCAGAAAAAAACCCGGCAATATAAAACAAAATATTTATTGGAGGAACATCCTGTTCAAGTAATATTCAATCAAACCTATTAAAATGCTATATACTTGTTTTCAATGTATTAAAAAATGTGTCGGCCAGCTATCACTTATGAATTGTTTTGAATGTAAAAACATGAAACACCTTAAAAAGCGGGTGATATCTCTGAAGAAACACTTACTTGCACATTGTATGGTTTTCATTGCCTTCAATGAACACACATATCCCATGTCCATTACAGCCATTCAGCACTGTGCAATTTATCACCTCTGAACAGTTATCTCCATGGTAACCGTCATAGCACGTGCACATACCAGGTGAGGTACATACGCCGTGCAGAGAGCAGTCATTATTGGAGGAACAGTCTGGTAGAGCACAACCGTTACCTTGCCAACCAGAATCACATCTGCATAAGTCGTATCCAACACATTGTCCATGCCCTACAGAATGGTGATGTTAAGTTTGTCAATGCAAAATTTGTAAACCACAACAGCTATGGTTTATAAGAGTAAAAGGGATACGACCTCACCTTAGTTATTGGGATTAAAAAAAACACTAAAAGCGAGTAAAACTTCATAAATCCCGCTTCTAAAAGTGACTGAGGACAGCAATAACACGTTTACCATTTATCCAAAATCCTAGAAACAGTTCAGTAGATGGTTTACATTTTTTATTAGACTTCGACTGAAAGAACCAAATAGCAAAAGTGATATTGCTGCATTATAAATAATTTACTATTTGGATTCAAGCCGTATACCATTTCGGGTGTACGCAATGACCCAGTTTATCTGATCAAGTCATAATAGAAAAGAACCTGAACATGCCGCCAAACTTTCACAGGAAAAGACTGTACAATTTGGCCCCGCCCATCCGTTGTCACATTTGCATACGTCATAATCCACACAGACGCCGTGACCGGAACAGTCAGATACGTTACTGCAGGTGGCAGCGATGCTACAGTCAACTCCTGGAACGAAATATGGACAAATGTCTAGTTTCAAGTGTATTGATTTTAATATATATATATATTTTTAATTTCACAATAATACCAAAACCTTAACTGAACTAGAGGATCAGAGAGGCGATACCGCCTCAGGATATTGTACCACCAGTTGGAGTAAGTGCATTCGTATGGAAACTCCCCCAAAAAGGGACCAGCAACACCAGCAACATTGATCACTCCTGTGGGACATTAGGCCTATTGTTTTTTCTCTAGACATTAGGCCTATTGGGTTTTCTTGAAATGTGTTGTCAGTGTTGCAATCATGCTGACAAAAGAGAAAACCTGGACATATCTCTGCTAGTTTTGAAGATATGAGGGGCAAGAAAATATGCAAAGTTCAGTTCATGGTGAAAAAGTAGGTCAAAGGTCAATTTCAATGTCACAATACATGACTACCTATTCAAGTTCAATAGTAACCATGGGCATTTCTTTGCCAAATTTGGAGATTTATAGGCCAGAAAACATGCAAAGTGCAGTTCATCATAAAAAGGAAGTCAAAGGTCAATTTCAAGGTCACAGTTAGATAGCTAGTGTATGACTTCCCATTCAAGTTCAACAGTAACTTTGGGCGTATCTTTGCCAGTTTTTGAGATATAAGGGAAATAAAATTTGCAAAGTTCAGTTCATGGTGAAAATTAGGTCAAATGTTAATTTCAGGGTCACAGTTAGATTGCCAGTATATGACTTCCTATTCAACTTCAGTTAAAACTATGGGCGTATCTTTGCCAGTTTTAAAAGTATAAGCACTGAAAAGTTGCAAAGGTCAGTTCATGGTAAAAAGTAGGTCAAAAGTCAATTTTAAGGTCACAGTTAGATTGCCAGTATATGAGTTCCTATTCAACTTCAGTTAAAACTATGGGCCTGTCTCTGCCAGTTTTGGAGATATAAGGAACTTAAATGTTGCAAAGGCCACTTCATGGTGAAAAGTAGGTCAAAGGTCAATTTCAAGGTCACAGTTCAATTTCCAGTATATGACTTCCTACATGTATTCAACTTCAATAGTAACTATGGGCCTATCTCTGCCAGTTTTGGAGATATAAGAGACTAAATGTTACAATTTGGGAGTTACAATAATGTGCCATAAATTTCCTACAGAAGAAATTAAGAAAAGGTCATTTTGGTTGAATTCTTGAAATGGGAGGTGCTCAGAAGATCCAGGCCCCCGTTTCACACAAAAACTTACGTCGGTTTCCCTGACTAAGAGCTTGGTTACCAACGTAATTAAGTCGTTACGTCACTAAGTCCCGTTTCACAAAGAATCTAAAAAGTCGCTTACGTCTTTTTTTTTTCTTAGCTGCTAGTCGACGATGTCTAGCCTCCTCGGGAGGAGACTTAAGTCGGCAAGCTCAACTAAAACTCGGTAAATGAGAGCATAAACAACAAAAATTTAGATAGAACATACCCCCTTCAAGATATTGTGTTATAATATCCTTGAATAGCACTGACATTTATGGAATATTGAAATAAAAAATAAAATGCCACTTCACCCAGCCGATCGCGTGTTTGTTTATGTTTTTGACCGCTAGACGACAAGCTAATGTTTAACTGTTACTTTGAAGTTGTATCGAAGTTAAACCAATCAATAAAGTTCAAAAACAAACTTTGTTTGTGTTTTGGCTGATTTTTATTGTTGATAAACGATCGTTCTCGGCCGAAAGAGGCCATGAAACGTCATGTCTTGTGAAACTTTTGAAATTTTAAACCTCCTTTTCATGAAGAGTTTCTCGTGCGCCTCGACTACGGTAAGCACACCAAGCTACGACTTTAGATTCTTTGTGAAACACTCCTAGTCGACTGCGGCGTAGTCGACCTAGCTAGGTCACCCAGCTCGAGCTAGTCGACTACGGATTTAAGATTCTTTGTGAAACGGGGGCCAAAAAATTTCATAAAACGCCTATGCTGGTGGTACAATAATGCCTATTGATATGTCATAAAACTATGTTTGTTTTATTTCTCATCATCTCCCTGTGCTAATAAAGCATTTTTCCTCCGCCAAAGAGAAAATGCACTCACTTACTTTTGTCTATTTTTCTGTCAGTTTGTCACCAACCTTATTAAAATGTATTTTGATAAAATTTTCAGGATACCAGAAGTTCAGAAATTGGCTAACGTAAATGTGAATAAATTTTGGAAAGGGTCCATGATCACGTTAACGATTTGGATAAAAAAAAATCTTCAAAATTGCAAGGCGGCTGCCGGGATACTGACTTTGACCAGTTGAGCATGGAATGTGTTCACAACGACCACAATTTATCGGCGTACAGTCTCCAACGGAGATATCTGCACTATCGGCAAATCAATGCTTTTCTGGTTATCATTTCTTAGATAAATATAATGTTGATAATTGATTGAAAAAACTGGTACCAAAAGGCAAATGTTTGGCGTCGAAACTACTTGTTTTCAAAATTCTCAACATTATTATGAACACTATAATGACCATTATAACTGGGTATAATGTAGATTTAACATCTATAAAAGGCGTACCGATATACCCTGCTGCACAGCGACATTTGTTCGTCTTGTCACATACACCGTGTTCCTCGTCTGTACAGTTATTAACGTCAAGACATACAGCTAAATAGGAAAAATAAGGCAGGTGAATCTTTATAAAAAGTTACATTGCTGTTTTCTACTGGGTAAGTTGCTCGGTATCAATGCTCGATATCAATGATTCGTTCTTTTAAATTAACAATTAAATGTCATAAAATTGTGAAACATTTCTTAGAAAACATTTAAATTTTAAAGGCACTTGTATCAAAACATTTTACAAAACTCTATGCATACAGAACACTTAAGTTTCTCCATTGTTTTAACTTAATTCAGATAATACGCCAACATACATTTTCCTAAATAAACATTTTATTCATAATACTTTACTTCTTACTCTCAGTCATGATTTCATGTCCTCGCAATAAATTAGTTACCTTTTTCCTCACACGTGCTGCCTTCCCAACCCACGTTACACGCACAAAAGCCGCTGTCACAGACACCGTTTGCGCATGCTCCACAGAAACCTTGTAGTAATGAGTAACATGTGCATGTGAATATAAACATCAATGGAACAAAACCCATTAACAATTTGGTAGATATTAGCCATAGGAATACTTTTATATTAAAATAATTAAACATTTTCCTGAAACAAAACCAAATTACCGAACCCTGATTTATAAACACAAATAGTCTCAGATTTGTAAATTTTGTCACATCATCCAATTCTAATGTACAGGGTTAATACTTAATATGGAATATTATTTGTGGCGACAAAATTTTCTACAAAATATTTATTTTCTCTCTCACTAATTTAAATCTGAAACTGAGGTGTCTTTCTTTGTGTACCACACAACTCTCGAAACTATTGATGCATGCAGGTGTATGTTATGTGATCAGAAATGTGAGGGGTGGTCTTTTCGTCAATTTCTGCCCTTGTATGAAAACGTATGGGTTTGGTCAATCTTTGGAGTGTATTTATAGAATCAACAAGGGGATCGCCCTGAAACTTGACAGGCACCTAGCTATAGAGAAGATATGCTTCGACAGCTAAGCAACGCAGCTAACTATGGATTTCATGCTTTCGGAGAAACGTCGTTTTCAGTGATGGGTCCAGATATGGAGTTTTTTAAGGTTGACGGTCGAATCCGTGTCCGCCTTCTTGTGCGAGAAGTATATAACGATGATCATGTACTGCCTGGGGTGTAAGCAGGAGGTGGTAGCGTCTCTGTTTGGGCAGCATAATTCATGCCGGTGCCCAGAATCAGCTGGTTCTTAACCAGGGTTCCTACAGAGACATTCCCTGGAAACTATACTTCCCTTAGTAAGAGCCATCTTCAGGAACAACTTTGTGTGCTGTTATGTTATAATATATGGCTAACTGGTGTTTCATGACTTTTAAAAACCAAACAGAACATTAGATATTAGACAATTCAGGATAGGAAAAAAGAGGTCAAGGTCAAGAGAGAGTTGGACCAGCGTGGCCGCATGGCGCTACTGCTGAATGATGCAAGATTTATTTATCGTTTATTTCTGATTTAAATAAGGATAATATGAAGAATATTCTGAGGTATTCAGATCGGAAAAAGACCTGTGTACAGCATGTAAGGGTTCGCACTGGAGAGAGACTTTTTGCGAATGACTGCTGTGACAAAAGGTTCATAAGATCTGTGGAACTTGGAATTTCATCGGAGAGAAACTATGACACGGGGATATGCTGCTGAGGTAAACGAAAATGTATTTGAAGATTTAGATGACCTTGATATAAGCGAGGATGAGGACATGGCGACATTAGCCTGATATCTATTGATATATATGCACTATCCATTAAAATACTATGATCACTCATACCCAGACAGCTTGCAAGATTGACCGTAACATTATTTAGCCTTGTACAGCCTATTGTATTATCTTTTTAGTTGTGACAGTTGTAACGTTGAAGTTAAAGGAAATCAAATTTAGATGTTTGAAATATTGCATTACGTTTTCCAAAACTGTCCGTAACAGTACCAAGACGATTACGCACCCCCACATCAAGCTCGCAGAATTACTGCTTTTCTTCGAAACCAAGGGGTTCAGCAACTGTCCTGGCCTGCAAACTCTTCAGATATGAAGCCAATTGAAAATCTGTGGGCGGAAGTAACTCGCAGAATTAATCGCTATCAACCGGTATATCGTGATAAACTACCATAAGCAAATGTCACTGCGTGGAATAAATTTCCCCATCCAAACTCTGAAAAAACTTGTCACAGGGTATGCCATGTAGGGTAAGGGCGCTACAAGCGGCTGCTGGAATTTTAACCCGCTATTGATTTCTTTTCATGAATTACTGTAATAAGTGCTTTCCTATGTAGCATTTCACTATCCAGAGGCTATCATTTTCTTTAATATCTTACCTTAAAGTTAATACTGACATCAAACTGTTGATATGGTTTGCTGGTGTGGGGGTGTTCTTTTCTTTTGAATGACATCTCATGTCAGATTTGATAATGTTGACCAAAATATCTCACAATAGAATACTAGATATTTTTATCACTCATTGACATGGTACTCTTTTGATGATTAAAACCAAACAAGTTAATCTGCACTCAAATAAAACAATGATAAAAAATAGTCCAAATTAAGTATAAACCCTGTATATTTTACGATAACATAACATAATTTAAATGAACAGTGGTAAAACCGAAGTTATTCTACAACATATTCACATGTAACTTATGTGTGAAGAACGGATCCATACTGTTCACAGGTGTGAGAACATAGAATTTTCTCTTTCTCACGAATTATTGACACACTTATCTCAGCTACATACCTACAGAGCAGTCTGGGCCCGACCATTTGTCGTTACATTCACATGAGCCGTTGACACACCTGCCTTTTCCATTGCAGTGACCGGGACATCCTGGAACAGACCATGGAGAGGATGACCTGTTTTATCTGGGTCTGACCACCAAAATTTGTCTCTCATATTTCAATAAGGTTTGTGTTCATACAGTGTATAACATATTAAAAAAATCGAACGATGTTTGTTAATACCGCAAACTGTTTTCGTAAATCTGCATTAAAAATAATCTAGCAAAATATATCAAAGGGGCTCATGGAAGTCGTCCATGAAACAACTTCGCTGATCACCTGACTCAACCAGCTTTTCTAGTTGCATCAAACGACTTTCCTGTACAGTTCATTTCATAATGTTATATGTGTATCTTTAATCAATATGTCAAATTAGATTTAAGGTTAGTAGATTCCCATGTAAAATAATTTTAAATGTTCTTAAACAAAATTGGCGCCAATAAAACTCCTACCAGTTTGATATCTTTCCAAGTTGGCGAAGGCCTCATCTTTTGTCACAGCTATGTCAAACACACACTGTTGTAAAAGCACACCCTCCAGACCCTTGGAATTACACGCCATTTTAGCCACCTTAATAATGTAAACAATAAAACATCAAGACATCAAGAAATCAAAGGGTTCCTTATTATATTGGATGACCAAACGTCTACTCATATTTAAAAAACATTCTTCAAATATTCTTCAAATATTTATGATTCTACATGAGACAATTATGTTATACAGCAAAAACGTGATAGACTCAGGTTTTATCCGAGAAATAAGCGCACCAAAATCACAGATACCTCTATTTCGGATTGGGACACGTTGGCAATGCTGTAGGACGGACTGTATAGACTGGGGTCTGTGTAGGAGGGATCCATGACGTCATCAACATGGAAGTTAGATCTGTTCCAGGACCAACCGCCAGAAGAAAGAGATGAGACGTTAACCCTCCCTGAAGTAAATGAACCGAAAACAAACAAAACATAGCATTATAAGCATTTTTTTACTTGAGGCAAAGTGACAAAAACATCTTTGTCACAAAAAAAAATGTATTTCGAATTGCAACTTTGATTCAACTTTAAAGAACTGCATAGACAATTTGTACGTTTTCTAAAATCTAAAATTGCAGACGAGTTTTTACCCTGTGGGATATCATATGAGCTACCTGTACTATAATCGAGTAGGTCGAGTATTTTGCTTTTCGGAAATTTCACGTACATGAATCGGCAAACTGTACTGCGTCTTCAGCAAGAGTGCCATTGGCCATTGTGAGGTCGTTGCCTTCATTATCGTCCATTAGTCCACATAACCCTGACGTGTCTCCTAGAAAACTGGCAGTCGGGGTAAGGTCAATATTCAGGAAGAGGCGACCCATAGTGGAACTGAAGTGAACTCCTACTGTGATACTTGCACCTGGCAAAACATTTTCGTTTTATTCGAATACAATGGTGTTTTAAAAAAGTGTGCACATCTAAATATGTGTTAGAGAAGAAAAGCTTAACTTAAGATTTTTTTTTAAATCAGAGTATTTCAAATAATGACGCGTAAATTGCCACAACTCAACTCAGACGACAAATCAATATAATTCAGAACTTGGAACAACGCGGATTTTTTGTGACACTGATCTGAGATGTGACACTTGAAGTCGATAGACAGTGCTTGCCAACTCTCAATAGTTTAATGGACTGTGACATCTTTCTGTTGTATTTTACGGAGATAATATCTTTAAATCAATAACGTCAGCTGTTATTACAGTAGGAGAGTCAGTACCAGAACTATATTGGAACGTGATCATCATCACGGCGCCAGCGCTGATGTTTCTGACGTCAACAATATCAACAATGGCCGTTCCATTGCTCAATTCTAGTCTGGTATTGTTCAACTCTAGGGACTGTTGTGAACCGTCAATTCTAAAATGTAAACAAGGCATAAAGATTATACACAAGTTATTTTAAAATCAAAGCCAAAATTTGCATGTCCTTATAAATTGTATAATGAAGTTATTAGCTTACAAGAGTTGGGTAGTTGGGTTAGGAAATCCGAATGATTAATAGAAATGTTATTTGATCTATTTTATATAAATGCATTTATTAAAGGTGCAAAACATATATACAAAAGTTCTTCCCCTAAATAACACAGCTTCACACGCGCCATTTAAACTGTTTTAAACTACACGTGTAACGTGACAGAGAGTCCCTCATAACAGAGAGTCCGCTTCCCATTCATTTCTACAGGTGAGCGATCGCCTTAGATTTTGACCCACTTGGGTCAGACTAACCCTAACCATTAAAATTATATGGAGGGCGGACTTTCTGTTACACGGAACCTCAGTTTCGTTACACCGATATGGTTTGACATTAGAAAAACGTGCCTCTGTTAAGCCTAGTTCCTAACCACGTTTTGGACGCACGGATTTTAGGTTCCTTGCGTCCGGCTAGGACGTAGCTAGATGATAGGGAAGGAATCAAGTAATTGGTAAAAAGTTTCTACATGCTATTTGTGTCCTCCAAAAGTGGCACGATGGACGTGCTCCTCACGCACGAACTCCCGCGTTTCCCCATTTTTTTGCCGTAGACCACACGTAACAACCCGTACGTTCGGTTGGGACCTAGGCTTTAGGCACAAGGAATCAAGATACATATTCTCGTTGCTGATCGAATTTGTGAGTGAATAGTGAACATTTATGAGGAATAACACATGATATTAATATGGAGGACACCACACTGTACGAAATAGGTTAAGGATATGCACCTGATGATTGGTAACGACATTGCTGTAGCTTGGTCTGGAGTGGTTATGGTAACCACGCTCTGACCAACTTTCACTGCGATTGCTCCAACTAGGGACGCCAGCTTGTAGCCGAAGAATCTGACTTGAACTCCAAAGTCATTGGCAGGACTTATGCAGTACCAGAACTCTCCAATACCATGGTAGTCGTATTCGACACCTACAGGTATGTATACGGATATTGTTAAACCAAGATTACTACATGCGTAAATATACGCTCACATTAATTGCTCATATGATAAATAAATGTATGTATGAATTTGAATTAATACAAGATAGAAACGTGCTTTCTCGTGGCCAGAAATTTAAACTTCTATACAGATAAATGACGACCTAAGCGTAAAAGTCAGAATTAAAAAGAATAACCCAAGGACCACAAGATTCTTGCAGAGTTAGTCATCGATTCACTCTCACCGTCTAACGTTGAAAGGTGCGGGTCTCCTCCCATGGTTCTCCCTACTCTTACGTTACAGCAGCGGCCGGTCCAGAACCTGGTACACACGCACCTGGATCGGCAGAAGTGGGAATCCGGTGTGCAGACTCCATTGCCGAAACATTCTAAAGATAAAATTATAAACAAAAAAGGCCCAAAGTTTATTTTGATAAATTGTTTTATTTTATTAAAATACTTACCTTTTTGGGTTATTTAAAGCGAAGGTTAATTTTCAATCTTTTAAATCTGTTGACACCTTTGTTTTTTTTTTTTGCGTCAGGGAAGATGTTTGAAATGTATAAATTCGAATATCAATTGAAATATATTTCAAATTTTTTGGGTAATAATGCCCTAAAAATGAATAAAATCTAAACCCGTGTGTATTGCATTTCTCACGCGGAAAACGGATTTGCACATTCATTGTCAGCCATAAGATCCAGTATAAATAAGTGTACGGTATAAACAGACCAAGTAATCCACTGTCCGTCTGTAAACTACAGGGTTCACAGTCCGGCTGGTCACACTGCTCTCCACGTCGACCTCGTACACAGGCAGGGTACAGTCCACACTGGGTCTTCTCACGACAAACACAGCGACAGTCTTCCCACACGGGCTCGTAGGCAGAGTCACACACAGGGCAGCTGAAAAATTTTACCATTTCTACTGAGCAGGTCGTTAGATATGTTATGAACGCAGGACCTTTACATACCAAACACTTTCTTGGACATTCCAACTCCTGTAACAATTGTGAAAACTACCATTTTGGTGGTAAAATGGAATATATATATATTGTATTCCTATGGGTTCTTTACACTGTATATATTGTGAAATGTGAATCCCATACAAACAGTTGTTAACCCTTAAAAATATTTATTTAAGAAACGATGAAATTGCTTGTGCATAATAAAGAAAAACAACTTGACGGGCCATTCTTGCTAGGCATTGGACTTGCTAGGCATGCATTTATTTAGAGTATATAGCCATTCATCTACCAAGTTTAAATTTCTAAAAAAATTGAGTTCGACGTAACGTCCTGGCGAGAGAAAACGACGTTATATCAGTCCGCATCGACAGTATGTGTCCTACTGTTTTGATCCTAACTGTCTCTAACTTATGGACCATTTCCAGATCCTGTCGTACTAATTGTGGGTCGATCTCAGAGGGGATTCTCGCTTAATTGCCTTCAACTTCAGCGGCTTTGATGTCTGTCAAGCCTACTGAAGCTGCTAGGGGGTAATTAATTATCGTTTAGCAGCTTCAGTAGCCAGATATCTTAGCAGCTTAAACTCAAAGCAATTTGGGAAGAAACCCCAAGGAGTTGGATCGATCCTGTTAGATCGATCTAGGTATGGGAACCCAATCTTAATTTTATACAGCCATTTTCATTTTCATTCATAGCCGAGTTATAAATGGCTCTGTTAAAATGATACACATGTTGATGGTATTCCCTTAACGGACAGAGTGCATTGTGACACAAGTTAGGCTTTTGAAGATGTCTACCAATAAGAAGCCAATAATAACGAGGGGGTTTTATCGGTGAGAATATAAAAAAAAACTTACATATCGTTAGGGCATTCGCATGTTCCGTCATATTTCTGCAGAGCGAACTGGCAATTCTTGCACTGACAGGGGCAGTTGCAGGAGCCATCTTGTTTTATGAATCCACTGTTACCATTTGGGCATTGGCAGTCACACTAAAATACAACGTCACTTCTGCATTAAAGCAACACACGTGATTTTCAAATGACGAAAAGAAAGATTACCCAGCAGGCATATAGTTGCGTTGGATCAACGTTGAAAACAGGTTGATACGTTGAATTGCCGTCGATCTACCTAAATTCAACGTAAAATCAACGTTGATCCAGCCACGTCGAAACACCGTCAGGATGTGACGTTGACTCAACGCTGTATTTTGGTCATTGACACAACCTTGCAGACATGGATTAGTGGACTAGTGAATTTTCTTAACTTGTTATTCAGAAATACATTCCAATAGACTTCCTTACAAGGTCAGCTAAACACTTGGATGAATAAGTCGCTGTATATGGGATGGAGTGAAGTTAACAAAGTTGACAATTCTCGGTACCCTGTTATAGATAGACAGGTTGAGGTGACTGTGGCTTTCTTATATAGTTATGTAATAATTATAATTGTGAACCTGTGTTTTGTACAAAAAATAAAAACATTTCAGGTCACTTTAATGTCTTTTCGTGCAAGAATTTTGTCTAACAACTGGGGTTGATACAATTTTGTTATCTGACATTGATCCAACTTTCAAATCCAATGTTTATCCAACATATTATCAACGTTATGGATCAACGTTGTTTCAACGTTAAACAACATAATTTGCCCGCTGGGTAGGGATGACGTAAACTCTGATTTGTGATGAAAATGTAGACATTGTGGGAGAACCTACTGGTGCAGTGCCTCAAGTGAACTATAATGTGTATATTGCACGCAGTTAACTAGCTAGACTGGTCTGTGTCAAAATAGGTTAGTGCGTGCATGCCTGTGTTTGTAAATGTGTGTGTGAGAGAGAGAGAGAGAGAGAGAGAGAGAGAGGATAATATCTCAAATAAAGTATCGCTGTGAAAGGGTTCATATTATACCGGGCAGCTGCCGTCACTGTTCATCTCTCTTGCTTTGTTATCTGCACAGAAGCAAGGACACGTGGGTTGTAAAATATCGCCAGTAATTACTCTCTTGAATATACCATCTGGGCATAATTCACACTGGCAGACGCCTTTAAACTGAAAAGGAATATCGAGCCACTGAGTTATATATGGGCATCTGCAAGGGGGGGGGGTCAATGGAGTCACTTGCCCCCACTCCCCCCTCCCCCGGAAATTTGGCGGGCACGTTAATTGCGGATACCCAGTCAATCATTATCTTCCCTTCAATGAATCTGATCCCCCTCTTGAAATCTTTTTGCGGACGGCCCATATATATATATATATATATATATATATATATATATATATATATATATATATATATCGGAGAATTAAGTCAGCACACCATGAAAAAGTTCTCCACTCATGGTGGCGGCCCGTGGGGAGCTGGTATATAAAATCAAGGATGCGAATAAATTAGCTTTTTCTCTTCATTTTATTTAAAAAAAAATGCCCTTTTTAATAAAATGGAGAGAAAAAGCTAATTTATTCGCATCCTTGATTATATATATATATATATATATATATATATATATATATATATATATATATATAAGGTTATTACATGTATTTTACATATTTCCGTCGTGATATTAATAATAACATTCTACAACTAAATAACAAAACAAGCTAAAACACAATGTATGGATGAATTTTAAAAGCGTCCAAATTGCACTTACATTTAAACTTTATGTGAGTTGTTCACAATTAATTGAATAATAGTGGAAAAAATGTCATTTTTGTTATAACAAGTTTAAGTAACGTAAATGCATAAATCTGAAAAAACTACACAATTCAATGATTAACCATGAATCTTCCCTTTCAATCTTTTTAAATTCTATCCAGATACGACATAAGATACAAGTATTGATCCGCTATCGTTTTATAGTTTTATTTGTTTTTTTTTTATTTATTTTAGTTAATAAAGCTCAGGGTAATTATAAGTGGCAGAGCGGCATAATCTTACCATGGTGCTGTTGCTGCCATCGGTACACGAACAAGAATTCGAATCTGTCGGGCACATGGTGGAAGTACTGGCAGGTTTACAGTGTCTACAAATCAAAAGATGCAGAAAGGTATTTAACTATATGTAACTCGGTAGTTTCTTGTCCATTTTGACTCTTTGATAGAATGGTCTTGTTTTGTATCCGTGTTTTGGTGAGCACACAACTTGACAGTTGACTGGCAATTGGGAATATCAAAATAAACGTGGTGACGTTGATACTGCAAACACTATAACAAATTTATAGTGACCTTTCTACTGTTATGTCATCCCACTTCTTAAAGGCAGGAAATGCAGTACCATGTGTTGTTTATGGAACACTTTTTTCGCAAAAGGTCAGTGGTTTTGCTGAATAATACAATTGGCGCTTTCTATTTAAATTCGCACTTTCTATACTTCAACTCCTAAGGACGGCTTTCCAAAAATTTTATTGACTATATACAAAGTAAATATGAATGACTCTTCTGCAAAATAAAAAGGCATATGCATTTACAGAAAAAATATACGTTAAATAGTTACAAGTTTTTCCATAAAGGTTGCAATTTAAGGCGGTGTACTTCGATAAACGTGTTATGCTGACACTCCTGTAGCATACTCACGCTGTAATACCGGGTAACCTGCCTTCCTCACGACCACTGGATATCTTCCACGAGGTACCGAAACGCAATTTCAGGACGCCCCTGCTGTCTCCAGTTCCAGCCCTATGCACCAGCAGGTGGTCTCCACCACGTCCAAAACACGTCTTGGAGCACGTGTCAATACTGAGGATGTCCGTAATAACAACAGTCGGTTCATACCCAAAAGCTATAGTGTTCTCCGGTATGGCTCCAGTGTCTGGCAGAATAAGTAAGGGTCTTCTGATACAATAGCTATCTATTTATCTATCTATCTATCTTCTGTCTATCTATCTATCTCTGAACTACATTTATGTTGTACTTATAATATTTTATTTCCTTAATATAATTGGTTGATTCTTTCAAGGATTAAATCACGTGTCCTTTCATTAATAAAAATCTCTCATGAATTAAGGAGGTACGTTGCCTTACCTAATATTTCACTAAGAAAGTCTAGGATATCACGTGGCCGATACAAGCTGCTGGTTATGATGTCGGAAATACTTGGAATAGTCACTTTTAATTTTGTCTCAATGTCAACTTTGATGTTTACGTTTTCAATTCCGTCATTATTTTGGACAGTGTTGGAGACATTAGTGACCTATAATAAAGTTAAAGAACGAATATTTCTTAAATATTATTTCTAAATATGTTAGTTGTTACCGCAATTTTAAACGTTTTAAATGTTTTAAATGTTTCAATGTTTAGCATAACTAATGAGGCTCTTCGTCAAAAAAAAAAAATATATATATATATATATATATATATATATATATATATATATATATATATATATATATATACACGTTGTTAGCACAGAACAAAGCTGCCCAACATTAAAAACAGTTATCTTACAGCATCGCGAGGAAAATGCACGACTTCTGCTCCATTTCTCCAAGATCCTCCCAATTTTTCCATAATACTCCCTTTTGAATGTCGCCATAACACTCCCGTCCCCTGAAAGCAAATAAATTGATTAATTATAACATTTAACACATTTTTTGCTGTCATCGATGGACAGATTGACGCCCAAACGGTCAGATGCCGAGAAAACTCTGTAAATTCGATAACTATCGCTCAAAAACTGTGGTCGATAAACATAAGACCGAAGAAACAAACGCCATCGAGTACTATACTTAAAAAACGAGATTTCAATTGCGGGCTTCTCTCGTTCATTTCAAATAATTCTAAAATACAAATAAGGTTTTACATTATTGACCGCTTTCAGGAATTTTCTTGCTTGTTTATAAACTAAAGCTACTCATGATGAAAGCAATCCCGTGTGTACTGTGCGAAGGGTACAATGAAAGCATGACCGTCAATCTATCACAAATACATGATTAACGCAGCACCGAAACTCTCTACTATATGAAAATGGACGTGCCGTAATGCGATGCTAATGAGTACCGTCGTATAATAAGCACGTGTTTAGCACAACTTACTTGTGTTTCTGCTATAAATCCGTATTTGATCTCAGCTATATTGATATTGACAGGTAAACACAGATCTGGTGACAGATCCAAGCAGTGTACTCCAAGAGGTGTGCTACCAAGAACTGGACGATGAACCTTTATGTCGTTGGGTCTATAAATGAATACACAAAACCTTTAAACATACGCACGCACAAACAAACAATTCAAATCATTGAGCATCAATGATTACATTAAACTATTACTATTACAGTCATTTCTATATTTCTGTGTGGATGTGATAAAAGCGTTTAGTATTTAACGCAGATAATGAACCATCAATAAAAAAACAATGTTGGGAGAACTCAGGAAAATGTGCACAGCACTGTTTTACCGGTAGTTAACATGGATGTCAAAAGAATACTAAATTAAAACGTAAGGCTTTTACATTCTAAATAACATTAGAAGACTTGTCACGTAAGAAATGCATTTACCCGGAAAATGCTTCATAACTGCCGTTGAGGGTGTATTCAAACTTGGTATCCAGTCGGACTCCCATCTTTCGTGCTTTAGGCAACGTAGACTGTAGGTGGAGCTCCAGTCGTGCTGCCACACTTATGGCCATCTCAAGCTCCACCTGGTGTTTGTACTTAGATGGCGCCTTAATGACAGACTGAACATTTCATATGTCTGAGGAAAGTTCTCCAAAAATCATATCGAACGCAGAATCATACACTCTTTTGACACAAAATATAAACTAACTTGCATCAGTGAAATATGAAATTTTCAGCATTAAATGCAATATAAACCACAGTGCCTAAATATGAACTGGATAAATTAAAATTACAAAAACCTAACCTGCAATGTCGCCCTTCTTTTTACTGTTGTGAAAACACTTCCGGTGGACAACGTGGTGATTAGACGCTTGCCTGGGTGGAATGCAGTATAAGGGGCATTGGTGTAAATACCACTGTCGCTTATGTCATGGACAGGAATACACTCGAGTAGAATGTAATCGCCTTTCTCAAACAATGAAATCACCTACAAGTATATGTAGGCTACATCGGATATGCACACTTTTGCTGAAAGACGTATGTTGAGATAGAGAGAGCGAAAGGCAAAGATAGACACTTATCAATAACCGTATTCAAACTTTTAAATGCATTAATAATGGATATCAACTGTACCATACAGTAGAATTAAAACTGAATATTTACAAACGAGATACATGCTACAATTTGTGTAGAATACTTGCTAATGCATCAACACAAGCTTGCACGTGTGCGCGCTTACGCACTCGCAAACGTACACAAGCACACTTCCACATTTTCAATCAAATTTACATTAATTCATTTGTAATTTTTGTACTGACGCGCCCTAGAAATGATCCTGATGCTCGTCCAGGAATGACGTCACCCTTGTCAGGTGTCCCCGCTTGCTCGGTCACTGGCTGAGCTATGTGCAGGCTTTTGTCATTGTGTTCTCCGCCATGACAATACATTGTTTGTGATATGTCAGCAGGGGGAGTTTTGATAGACCTGGAAAACAAAGCAATCTAGCTACATGAAGTCTACGGTGGGTTTATAAAGATTTTCAGTATGTCAGTTTGGAAAATTCTGTTTAAAGAACGGATGGTCAGCTAGCTGCAAAATGGACATTATTTATTGCACCGAAAATAAAGGAAAACTCGCGGCCATACACAATCAGATACTTTTTTTTTGTAAAATGGGACTTATGCAACCATATATTACAGAACGGGTAAACTCCAGGCGACAGTAACACGCTATCAAATCTCAAAACTATTTGTACATTGTGTACTACTAGGTATGTCTGATTACTAAAATATTTCTTCAACAAGCAATTTCGCAAAAGCAATGACTTGGAATTTAAAGAGCAGCCGTATAAAACATTCTTTTATATATTTAAATATGTTTTGAAATTTGACAAATAATATATTTGAAGACTAAGAAGTATACTGATATATTCTTTCATTCCACATCAAGCATCAAGCCTTGTAGAGTTTAAGTGTAAAAACTCTACTCTGAATTGCCATCTGTGCGTTTAAATAACCGAAAATTCATCATGCCCAACATGATTTCATAGGCTTTTGTAATTCTCATATCTTACACTAAGGACATGGCGTTTCCACACGTCTTCAGTTGGCCATGGTATATCTTTGCTCCGGCTTCTTCGACGATGTCTTCTACATCTTCCAGGAACCCATGGCTAACAGTACCGACTATTACGTCGCCGACCTGAACTCCCACCACAACGTTCTTTAACAGAATAATGTACTGTGACGCAATGAGCCTTTGGTCGACGTCATACCAATGACCAAGACATTTATAGACCCGTTGTGTAGCTGCAAATAATATAATACACCTTAGTTGACCTTATGTAGAAATACTGTTATATTCTATAACGTTTATTTCTGTATAACCTATGTTAATTTATGGTTATTCAGAATATTGATTTTTTTAATGCACCATTATATTTGCACTATAGCAACCGTACGTAGAAAAGACAATCCTATTTATGTTTCCTCCATCCCAGCTAACTTCAAACCTTCAATTTGTCTCATTCATACCAAGAAAAAAGGCAACATACTATACTGATTGTTAGAGATTTGGCCAAACCAGGCCGCTTTATATATATATATATATATATATATATATATATATATATATATATATATATATATACAGACTTGACATTTAATATGGAATATTTCAGTTTCGAAGGTATACCTAGGTAAAAATACGTTCTTTTTTCAAAAAACTCCGATCTCATAGAAGATTTGTGAATGTAAAAGTGTGCAGTCAGGTGTATCACTACCAATTAACTGACTTTCATGCCTGTTGCGCTGCTACATTCTGTAATTTGCAGTGATTTAATTGGGTAGTGTTCCTTTGGGCTGATCAAAGCTTGGCTTAGGCAAAGCTTGGTTCTGTCAAAAAAAGTATCCTTATTTCGGCAACTACTGCATAGAAGAATTTGAAATTTTGCATGCAAGCGGTCAGTTTTGCAGTGCGTAAGATGAGTCAAGTAGTGCATTACAAATTTGTTAATCTAAGGCGGATTGGCGCGAAAAACAGACATAACCAGACAGATCATAGCGCCAAACGGAACGGTCCCCACAGTTTTATAGAGTAATGCCCAGACTGATGTACCTACACAGAGGTCACCCCCAATGCATCAAAATTTTGCCTACAGGGTACAGGACCCACTGTCTTTCGGGATGCGCTGCTGCAACTAAACAAAAAACACTTAGTCCGTTCAGAACGAGGGGTAAATTACCACTAAAATGCGTTTTTCAAAGCCCTTAGCGCACACCAAACTGGTTTTAGCAGGTAAGAACACAAAATGACCTCCGAGGTACCCACTGTATACAGCAAAACATCGTCGTCTGTTTCTCTAATGAATTGGGGGCCATGAACGATTCTGGGTAGAACACTGAAACTGCGTGTCTTTCTTTATTGAGGTTAGATTTCACCTGTACCGCCCAATTAGTCAAAACAGAGTTTACAGATATCCAGAAGAGGCCTACGACGAAGCATATGCCGGGTCTAAAGTGACAAGGGTGATTGACAGCGTCAGTATTTGGAGTAGATTCCACATTGGTGCCAAAACACCAATGGTAGTCATCGACGAAAACCTGAACCAGATCAAATAAAGGAATAATCTCGGAACCACTTGACTATCATTTGATAGGGGGCACCTAAGGAACAATTCTAAGTTGCACGATGAGGTTGCAGGTTCACACAGAACACTTTTAATAGCAGATAACTTACAGAACCAAGGGAATGAGCAGCTACCCTGGTCATCAAAATCGCCACATTTGAACCACATAGACAATATTTCGGTAGACCATTACTCACCAATCAACTGCCTACATGTCCTACAACAAAACTGGACCAGATTGGACAATTTTAGACTGATGCCTGGAATGCTATTCCAGATTAAACTCTAAAAACCTACCCCCAAGAAATGCCTTGCCGCTTGAGAGCGCTGGCAACAGCCACGAAGAGGCCAGGCGTAACAACGACCATTACTGTGACTAGCAACTGACATGAGGGTCTTTTGTGGAGCGTATTACCCTTTTACAGACGATAATTTGGAAAATATGGAGATCCAAAATATCTCTTTTAATGGGAGTCGTATGACATAGAATAGGCAATGTGTTTTTGTTTGCTTCTCTGGCGAATTCCATTAATGAACTGATGTCACAATGACATCAAAGAGATAATTTAAAGCTATTAAAACACGATTTTGATCCTTATTTTCATTTATCAGTCAGCAAAATAGGAAAAAACTGATAAAAAATTATTTCGAAAAAAATATTCCATATTAAATGTCAAGTCTGTATATATATGGCTTAGGCAGAATTAAAATCCTTATGTATATACAGACTTGACATTTAATATGGAATATTTTGTCCAAATCATAATTCATCTGTTTTTTTTTCTATTTTGCAGACTGATAAATGAAAATCGTGTTTTAATAACTTTTGATAATCTATTCGATGTCATTGTGACTTCAGTTCATTACCTGAATTCGCCCGTGAAGCAAACAAAAATACATTGCCTATTTAAAGTCATACGACAACCATTGAAAACTATATTTTGGATCTCCATATTTCCCAAATTATCGTTTTAAAAGAGTTACACGCCCTACAAAGGCCCCTCATGTCAGTGTCTAGTCACTGTCGCTGTTATGCCTGACCTCATCTCCCTGCTACCAGATCTTTCAAGCGGCAAGGCATACATTAGGATAGGTTTTTGGAATTCAATCTGGAATAAAAGTTCAGGCAACTGTTAAAACTTGTCCAATTTGGTTCCGTTTTGTTTAAGGACATGCAGGCCGTTGATTGGGCGACTAATTACCTACCCACATATTGTCTATGTGGTTCACATATGGCGATTTTGATGACCAAGGTAGCTGTTTATTCCCTTGGTTCTGTAAGTTATCTGCTTTAAAAGTGCTCCGTGTGAACCTGCAATCTGATCGTGCAATCTTAACCTGTTCCTAAGGTGCCCCCTATCAAATGATAGTCAACTGGTTCCCATATTATTCCTTTATTTGATCTGGTTCAGGTTTTCATCTATGACTTCCATTGGTGTTTTGGCACCAATGCGGTATCCACTCCAAATATTGACACTGCCAATAACCCTAGTCACTTCAGAAGCGGCGCGCGCCTTGTCGTATGCCTCTTCGGGATTTCTGTAAACTCTGTTTTGACCAATTTAGCGGTAAAAGTGAAACCTGACCTCAATAAAGAAAACCACGAGGTTTCAATGTTCTACCCAGAAAATGCCATGGTCCCCAAATTAGTAGAGAAACAGACTGCGCTGTTTTGCTGTTTACAGTGACTTACTCAGAAGTGGCCTGGTATTCTAACCTGCTGAAACCAGTTTGGTGTTCGCTAAGAGCCTTGAAAAACGCGTTTTGGTGTCAACTGCCCCTCATTCAAAACGGACTGGGTGGTTTGAGTTCAATTGCAGCAGCATATCCTAAATGACATTGAATCCTATACCCTTGTGGTAAGATAACGATACCTTGGGCGTGGTCTCTGTGTGGGTACATGTACATAAGTCTGGGCATTACTCTATGAAACTGTGCAGACCGTTCCATTTGGCGCAATAATCTGTCTGGCAATGTCTGTCTTTTTCGCGTCATTCTGGCACAGCTTAACGCTTTTTTAAAACACCGCTTAACTCATTTTACGCACTGCAAAACCAATCGCTTGCATGCAAAATTTCAAATTCTTCTATGCAGTAGTAGCTGACATATGGATACATTTTGACAGAACCATGCTTCGCCAAAGCCAAGCTTTGACCAGCCCAAATGAGCACTACTCAATAAAATCACTGCATATTACATAATGCAGCAGTGCAGCAGACTTGATAAGCAGTTAATTGGTAGCGACACACCTGACTTCACACTGCTCCAGTCAGATATCTTATATGAGATCTGAGTTTTTTGGATAAAAAACGTATTTTACCTAGGTATACCTTTGAAACTGAAATATTCCATATTAAATTTATGTCTGTATATGTAAACTTGCAATAATTATTCAAATATTACAAAAGTATCAGGAAACCACCCACTCATGTACAGTGTGCTGATTGAAACTTAATGTTTTATCATTAGTGATAAGGTTTTAAAAACATACCCTCTATCTCGCGGACCGTGGAACCATTTACAGCTTTTCCTTGTTGCACAAGGGCATTTTGAAGTACTTCAGCTTCCGGTACGTGGTCGATGGTCCTGTCGTCCATAAGATAATGTACAGGTACGGTCTGATTAAAGTTGGCATAGCGGATAATATCTTCCAACTTTGCTGTTGCTGTGGCAAAGTACTTATAAGTTCCTAAAATACATATTTTTGTATCATGAAACTGCGTTGTTAAAGGTACATACGAACCGAGCATCGGTGGAGCATGGATTCTCAGTAATACATGTAAACCACTTCTACTAGATTCTTATAGGACTCAAATAAATTCGACATGCCAAGGGATAAACTGAATAGCTCACTCGATCAGCCATAAAAGACCTTGATACTGCTCCTTTCTTTAAATTTATGGTTGTAAATTTAACCTACATTCGTGACCTACTTTCCTGCCCCATTGACATACAGCTTAGAATGCCAGCAGAAAAATCCGTTTAAACATCATTTTCAAGTAAAATTAAACAATGCCTTTTGGTAATTCTCTTAGTTATACTACTTGTAACTATATGCTGGCATTTGGTTGGTTTTTGTGACAAAAAATTGACTTTGTATGCATCTTTAAATGCAAAGTGTATACCGGGGGTACAAGTTTGGTTATCACCACCCACATTAATGGTTATATATATATATATATATATATATATATATATATATATATATATATATATAAACACATTTATATTAACGTCATATATATGGTTAAAACGGATGGCATCCTAGAAGACTTTTCCGTGATGGATTTTTAAGAACTGACTGGCAATGTATCCACGAAGACTTTCCATAAAAAACGTAATAAATAAAATATTTAGAAACCACTTTACCCGTTTCCTTGGTTGAATGCACGTTATGCATTATGCCTCCTGCTTGTCTACTGACGATGGAAAAGTTTCTATGCCGTGGATACATTATCCTGTCTCTGGATACAATAATGGCTTGACCTGTAATAAAAAGTAGACGATAACCTTAATCCCCACGTTGGTCATATTATAGTATTTGTTGGGGAACTAGCATGATGCTGTTACATGTCACGCTCATTATAACAACCTGGGCTCCGTAACCCGAAAAAATCGCGACGGCAAGCATGAAGATTCGCCTCTATTCCATAACTCGGAATTTACTCGCCCCATATAATAGCCCGAAATGAAAGGTGATATCGCTTTCGCAATTCGCCATGCTTTCGAGTTACGAAGCCCTGGTTTGCAATTACATTTAACTTGAGGCCATTACAGCGGATAGAAGCAGCATATGCGAAACTTTATACACACTTAAATCTAAAAGTACGTCGCAGGTAAACGTTAGTGTACGTTTGCATACGCAGAGGGAACAGAATTTTTTGAGAATGTTTAAAAATTACCAGCGTATACGAACGTCCGAGTCTTAGGTTACCCATACGATATCCATACGTTAAAGATACGCGTGACATACGATAGAATGACTTTAAAATTACCCTAAGATATGTTTCTTATACGATGACCGAAATAGTTTGCCTTTGCGTAGCGCACAAGTAGACTAAAGTAACATACTGGTCACAAACGTGTAATATATTGAACGTATCTGTAACGATCGATTAGCGTGTTTAACTTATGCTTGATTGGCGTTTAGAAAAAGTATCCCAACGATTTGTAAACTGCGGTATTAATTTGGTGCTATTTTTATATGATCATAATCATAATATTTTCACCAGGGAGGCAAGAAGCTGAGGGAATCAGTAGATCAAATTCTAAGCAGAATCGATTTTATGGCAAGAAGATGCGATTTAACCCCCAAAATGAACTATATTAATTTGTTAAAACCAATAATAAACTGTATGTTAACTTAAAAAAGACAAAAGTTGTTATTTTTAACAGTAAAGGAAAAATGCATGGTCACACCGGTGGCAACAGAGAAAAGTTTTATTTTCATTACCAGTTGGTTCCAGTAGCAACAAGCTGCCTATACCTAAGTCTCCTTTTCATACGTAATAGCTACGCTCCAATGCGGTTGTTTTATATACGCAGCGCTTGGATAACATATGCATCATAATACAGAAGAACTAGCGTGTGGAACGTTGTTATAATTATTAATTAACGGATGCAAATGTATGTATGTCGTATATATGCATGTATACATATAAGCGTATGTCGAATGAATTTTGCGTTTACTTAAAGGGATAATAATTCTTCATATAAGAACCATGTTTCACAACAAAAACATTGTGAACAACTCATAGAAATATTTTTGATCTGTTTTACCACAACACGGCAGTTATAGCTATCATTTTGATATCTGAGCTTATCTTTAGACCACATGACCTCCACTGTACTCTTTAGAAAACAAACCTTTTAGAAAAAAACTAGGGACTAACTTTGAATGTAAAAATGGATTCGTTAACCATTGGTTAGTATGGGGAAATTGTTGTTCACTCCAGGAAAATTCATTTTTGGCCAAAACGAAGAGTTATTATCGCTTTAACAAACCCATTACCGTATGACAAACGTATCCCCGAGTTTTGTCCTTTGTGCTATTTTATCTATTTCACGTATGGCACTAATACTCTTTTACTCTACATGTAGGTGTAACAGCGCCTAAAGAAACAACCTACTGTATGTGAGGCAGATCTTTATATGGCAAAATATCATTATAGCTTGTAGGTTTTAACAAATAGTCTAACGCATACTGTCTCATTTTTATGTCTTTAGTGCTATCGAGGAGAACTCATTTTTGCTAAAATAAAATTGCCGTACAACATATAACATATAACATTCACAACAAATGGATGAAAAAATATACTCTACCTGGCTTACTTGGAAGTGGGCACACATATAATTCTGCTTTAGAAGGGTTTATTGCAACCACGTGGGAATGTAGAGTTGTGTCTGACGCCCTGTTGCCATGGTGATAGTCAGGCCTCACCAAGCCATGAGGACACTTCCCCATGTCCCAGTAACGACAGCCGTAAGACATCTTAAACAACCGTTAACATTTTAATTAAATACATCGAAACTGATTTTTCGATTTAGGATCAACTTTTTACATAGATACATGGAGTACAAAAATGGGTATTGGCCCACAGCCTTTGAACTCATTCAGCCAAACACTGAGTTTAGAATTATAAATGTATCACAATGAAACCGCATACATGTACATAGCCAGTGGTTGGCAAGAAACACTCTTTGAAAACTTTTTTTTTTTTTGGGGGGGGGGTTCATTTCAACTGTAACATGCACATGTATCCATGTAACTGTCCTCAATTAGGCCTATATATTACTATGCCGTCGTTCTGAACTAAACTACATAACTGCGGGGTTGACTGAGAAGTCGGGGTGGAAATCGTTTCTCTATAACAATAGTTTATAGCTCCAAATACAGTTACAACTACGTATATAGAGTCACGTAAAGTTATGCAGAACACAGCGCCTTGGTAATGTCCCTATTTCACACAGACCACGAATCCCACGAATCGCCAGGAATTGACAAATTTCGTGAGGATTCGTGAGATTTTGTCAATTTTCTGGTCTATTTCGACACGCTCCACGATTCAGTTACGATACAGGTGCAAAAGAGTTACGAATATTCGTGGGATTCGGCTGGATCGCACGAATATTGTCCAGAAATTCACTACGATTTTTTGGAATCGGGAGTTCGTGGCCAAAATTTTTTTAACAGCTAAAAATTTTTGCCACGAATTCCCGATTGATCAAGAATTGCAAGAACTGACAACGATTATATACGAATCTGTTAAGAACATCACGAACTGATTACGATTTAACCACGGATCCTAAAATGTGTCAATTCATGGCGATACGTGGGATTCGTGGTCTGTGTGAAATAGGGGCATAAGCTAGTTGGTCCAACTATAATTAGATTGAATTTTACGGCGGGGTCGCTCGACGGTGTCAGGATAAATAAGCTATAAGTTCTTTATATCAGCAACTACTACTTACATCGTCACTAAAGCAGGCCTCCACGTCTCTACACCTGTGACAGAGCTCATCATTGGCATACCGTATGGTGGAGTTACACTGCCGGTACTCACAGCCGATATACTGGAACAGTTTAGGAAAGAATACAGTCACCGGGAATTTTTGCTGTGCACGAAGAAATAAAAATTTTATATGCATTCATGTATATTATGTATGAAATAAACATGTCTAAAGATCGGGACTTATAATAAAACTTATAATAAAACGACAGAAGCTATACCCATTTGCAAAAAAAAAATATTATTATTAATATAAATAATAATAGTTGGAAAATGAATAAAGGCGTGCATAAATTTTCAAGCTGGCCTTACATATAGCCTAATCGGCTGCGCCGCAGATAATAAAATGGTTAATGAACATTCAAATTCACACCAAATAAAATACTTTGCACAACAAACGGATTGTTTATTTCAACAAGGAGGGTGTTGGTAGCTAAATGAATAAATTACCTCAATTTGTCTTGAGCATCCCATGTACGTGTCTACAGAGAAACAGTCGTGATAGAACCAAGTTCCACACTGCCCTCTCCACGGCTGAGACTCGTGGCCTGGCAGACATCTTTGTTTGTGGTCACACCAGCCACACCCGGGCTGTTCAGTACATGATCTACACGTGCTGTACACGGGGCAGTAGCTTACTGAACAGGCGCGACCCTACAGATATAAATGCCGAGATCATAAGCCTCCCCTCTCTCTCTCTCTCTCTCTCTCTTTGTGTGTGTGTGTGTGTGTGTGTGTGATTGTGTATGTTTGTTAAAATGTATGAAGGTTCATAAGTCTGACCTCGTTGTTTGCATGTGTTCATTCGTGTTTGGGCAAACATTTATATATTCTGATAATTGAAAGAAAAATGCTTAATCCTATGTACACTTTAAACTGTTTATTGTACCGGTTAGTTTTGTTAGATGATACTCAAGGAATGTAGTTACAAATGAGAGATATACCTGCCAGCCAGGCTGACACCTGCATTGGTTCGGTCCCACACATGTCCCGTACTGTCCACACTTGTTTCTGTCTCTACAATGGTACACGGAGCAGTCCTTCCCTTCCCAGCCGCGGTTACACATGCATAGTCTATTATAACCACACCGTCCATTGTACGAACAGCCATTGAGACACTTGCTTCCTACAATATTAACCAAAGACTTACTATCATTTACAGATTACACATTTGACTTTGCAACTTCTTTCGTGGACATTAAGGCAGGATATTCTGGGAAAGTACAGCCAACCTTACATTCAACTCAACGCCATGCGTTTAAAGGGAGATTCAGCTATCGTCAAATACAAAAAGGGCATCTGGTTGATCGTTTGAGACATAATTTTAGGCTACTTATGAAATAAAAGGTTGGACACGTAAGAAATCTTAAATCATGGGGTGTGTTTTAACCGATGAAAACAGAAAAGCGTTTATGTATGAGATGAAAAAAACATCGTAGCAACTAAATGCATCGCACTATATAGCGTTTAAATAGAAACATAGATTAAAGCGCCTGAACACAGTTTACAATTACCTGCTGTACGTTTGCAAATAAACGGCGCAAGGTGCGAACATTCTTCCAAATAAGTGCCTCCACTTCCATCTACCGCAGTGATGTTAAACAGTGAGCACTTGCCACTTGGCTGGAAGACGAACTTACAAGATTTAACTGTGGAGGGGTATAAGAAGCTCCAAAGAAATATGACCATGGACCTACCGCATAATTTTGCTAAATACTAGTACTATAGTAGACATGGCAAAAGAGGGTTTTGTTATTTGAAACTGCATCTGCAAAGGAACACTTACTAGTACTACAGCATAACCAACTGCAAAAGTGTCACGTAAAATACTTTACCCAATCTTTATTTCCAGTCCATATTCCATAGCTCTGTCGTCCAATTGCGCGAGATTTAAGAACGGCTGCGACAAAGTCGATTTCCTTTTCTCCTTGTGGACTGAACAGCGCGCTGTATTCTTTCTGAGAAATAAGATAAACAAGACCATAAATAGCCAAAAATATGCAAAAAACTGCTTAAGTCCACAAGTAGGCTGTGGCAGCGGGTGTCAGTGTAAACAGAGGTTTCATTTGGATGACGTTTCTACCAGATCAAAATATCAAAATTATATGAAGATATATAAGGAACAATCGGATCAGGACAATGAGAAATACGTGTGACTTTGAAGTAAAATTCAACAAGGTTTTCCAGTTATACGGTAACAGTTAATCAGTAGCAACAGCATTCGCTCCAGCTTTGGCTCTGGTGTCAAGAAATGAGCTACCGTAGAGTTCGTTTAACAGAGATATGTCTTCCATTACATTCATATAGGTTAGAGTTACGTGACGAAATGTGTCAAAATCTAGGACGGGGCTAAAATATTCAAATCAACTTTGTAAATGAACATTAAATTTTTTCAAATGTGGACAAAAATTTTTTCAAAAGTGAACGAATCATTTTAAAATGATAGAATGTAGTTAGCGATCGATGCATAATATGAACATCACTATACAAAGGATAACGTATTCTGCCTCATCAGAACATCCTTACCTTGCAAGATCCAACAGCATCTGAGAATGACTGCACTCCCCCAACGTACAGGTAACATAAGCTATCGTTCTGCAACCATCCCAACGGACACAAACCTGGAACCAGATCAACTTATATGAACATTAATTAATTATAGCTTATCTGATATCTGAAATGTCTTGACTTAGGTCTTCAAATTAATTTACCGTGGTCACCATAAAGCATATAATGTGTTCCAACGAGCACAGTATAGAATATTTATATATATATATATATATATATATATATATATATATATATATATATATATATATATATATATATGATAATTGTAAAAACGCTCTACAGTTACAAACATTCCAATCAATGGAAAATCCCACTACTAGTAGGCCTACCGCCTGGTATCAATTTTAGCTTATATATGTCATGTTAAGGAAGAGAGAGAGATGTGATGACGGTTATACAGGGTGACCCCCCCCCCCCCAAGAGAAAAAAAAAACAGAATCCATAAATAAATATTAAATCCTACAAAGCAATTCAATTTCAAAAAAATTAATGGACTTAAATCTCACTTATGATCATTACCCGAAGTTTCAGTTATCTTGGTCGCTTTGCATAAAAGTTATGTTATTATGAAAGATATGCTCCAAATGGCCATCGCACACTTGCATACGTCGCAAAAGAAACCCCAGTTTCTCAAACACATTGCTCCCCACAGATAATATATATTAATGTAAAGCAAATAAATCGATTTAACTTTCAGATTCAAAGATACAGGGGCATGCTTGTATTCACGTCTTACTCAATTATAGCCCATAATTTACCTAGCTGCTTAACTGGAAGACACCCTTGTACATCACACGCTTTTACTTCCGGGTTCCACACTAAACCACGTGGACATACTCGAGGGATGGTTCCACGTGCTGTGAACTCATAGAATCGACTGCAATCTCTGGTGTCCGGCAGGAACGTGTCGTTTAGTAGTTCTGGGAGTTGTCGTGGGAAATATGCTGGGGTTACCTTGGGCCCTGGGGTGAATTTTTATACAAAAAATTAGAATTGCTGTCAAAGAATATCGTGGTAGAATGCTGCCATGTCATATAATAAAAGAAAAATCTATAGATATTAAAAAAGAATATATTTTGAAAGACGAAGACAAAAAGTACCATTAAAATAAAAAACTTACCATTTAGAAAATCTGCTTTAGAATCTAGTATGGGCTGTTTTATGACGTGAGGGAAGGGGAACCCAGTGTCATTGTCTCGTATCCTCTGCGCATGCCCTGGCGGTCCCCAATAGTTGGATGACGCATTCACAGCGGTAGAAGCTCCCTCGCTTGTCATTTCGAACTTAAATGTCGGATTGTTAAAATAGTTACTATGGAGAAACGATGATGTCCCACCAGCAACTATAGCCGCCATGTTGTTTGCGTCTCTTGCGATGTTGTAATATATGACGTTGTCAGTAGTGACCTCACTCGTGTTTCTGTTGGCTGGTGTTGTCCACCACATCACATGTAGACCTGTGTTGTTGTAGACGTAGTTGTTAGTGACGGTTCCGGACACACCCTCCAGGTGGATGACATTACTGTACCTATCTCCCTGTCCGTGCTGTATCACATTCCCATCTATACTGCACTGCTGTGTGTGAGGACCGTCCTCTACTACTACAACCAGTATGCTCTCCTGCTGGGTTGTACGGACGATCTGATTGCTCCAAATGTTAATGTTATTGCTCCGGCTGTGGGTTCTTGCAAGGATGCCGCCGTGGTTCCCCACTAGATAACTGTTAGCAATGGTGACACTGCACGACCCAGCAATGTTCAGCCGGATAGCTGCTTTCCAGTGTTCAGCACGGAAGGATGTTGACTGGCCGTTTGAACGGAATATATTCTTTGTAATAGCAAAATCAATGTTTTTCTCTCCCACTGTGGTGATGTTTACTCCACCCAGACCGTTGTTTGAAAAAACGTTTCCTTGTATCTCTCTTCTTGTTAGGGTCTCTATAAACATAATTTGATCATCCAATTGCAAATAGCAAAACTGATTATTTCAAACGTCATAATATCTATTTAATTATATCATCGCAGTTCTACCTCCCAGGAATAGGACGATGAAAATAGTGCCGTGAATGGTGATACAAAGCAAGCATTAACGCGTTCACGCAATCATACACAACTGTACACACACGCGCACACACACACACACACACACACACACACGCAACGACAGAGAAATCACATGTGCAGAGAGAGAGAGAGAGAGGAGGGGATATGCAGCTATCACATGATCCATCTGTTTACCTTTAGGAATGGGCAGTTCCTCTCCAACTTTCACACCAAACACGATACTCTGTGTTCCATAATATTTCCAATCTCTGTAGCTGTTCACAAGTCTGACTGTCACGCTGGTACTGTTGATTGGTATATCATACGGAATGGGATGATCGTTTTGATCGACATGGAGAATTCGTTTTGAAGTAAGAGGAGAATTTCCTTCAAATATTTCAAGAAGGTAGTTAAACCGTATACTGAATTGTAAAATCTGTAAGGCAGTGATACCTCTTGTTGATATAATGACCTTGGTACAGTTGTAACGATTAAAAAAATTGTCCCTGTTGGAGAAATACAAAATAGAGTCGGTATCGATTCTTAATGTTTTGGTGTTTGTGTCGCAGATGTTATCTAATCCGTATAATACGCCAGGCCATCCAACCGACTCGTACTGGACACTTGTGTCTAAAGCCTGACTTCTCGTTTGCACTGTGATGACATTGACGCCAACACCTCCGTTGTCGATAAAGTCATTATTTTTTATTATGTTTTCGCCCTTCGGCATCACTAATTCGATGCCGTTGAAAGCTGAACCAAAAATTCTCGATTTGATTACAACAATGCTGGATTTTACTGTCTGAATTGTGGAGCCGTAGTAGCCACTTTTGTATCCTGCGTGATAAAAATCCGCATGGATAATCTCTGAAATTAAACGGTCTGACGCAAACACAATGCCTTGCCATTGGTTACACGCTGCACTAAGGTATCTACACCCAAAAACGATTTTCTTCTCTTTGTCACCCTTAGCAATAAGCTTACCAAGAACAAGGATGCCTTTGTCCCTCGATGGCATGACCCAAACACCCGCTTCAATGACCACCTCAACATCGTGTAAAATAGTCCAGTCTTCCTTCAGGTAGTAGGGGGAATCTTTTGCCGTCAATATTATTGAGTGGTTCAGCCACCCGCCAAGCACGTTTCCTTGTGGAATTCCCTCTGTAACGTCAGGAATGTACACCATCTCGTTTGAGCTCGACACGAACGGAAGTGTTCGCACTTCTGGTAGATACATGTCGTTGTGTGCGTCATATACACGTCTTCGTACACAGGTCGTGTTATCACATCCCCAAAAGTTGAATCTGGCATCGAAGGCGGCTTTCCATTTTGTAGAGCGAATCACGATATACAACTCTGCCTGTAGGCCCGGGTTATATAGCGTGTTATTTTGAACCGGGTAATCTCCGTATCCATTGATGACAAGTGCAGCTGATGACGGAGGTCTCGCTGGCTGACGTCTGTTGGTGTCGGATGAATAGGTGTTGTTAATCATGATATTCCCTGCCAGTACAACGGTTGGTGCGTTATTGTCATATGTTGTTTTATCCATATTCATGTATATGATATTATTGTAATTGTTACGTGATATATCATTGTTAACGAAATGTATTATCTTTTCATATCCGCTGTACCTGATCACTGACCCAGAGCTGTAGCCATTACCCATGATTACATTCCCTGATACGGTCATCTCAAGTGTTCCACCGCTAATGTCGAGGATATTCCCTTTGTTGTCAGTTATTTCGTTATTCTGAAACCAGATGTTCACATTTTTGGGGTTGTCATCCCTAACATGGTACTCGAACAATGTGTTCCTGGTACTACTGATTTTACATCCGTCAATGGTTAACTGTTCTTTACTGCCACGGTAATTGTAGATATTTATTCCATAGTCATTGGAATCTAAGGTTGTATTTTTGATTGAGATGGCGAATGATGGTAACAGTTCATTCACCAGTGGAACATGAGATACACTATATAACCTAACATACATCAATCTGTAGTTTCCTACTGTGACTGAGTCTTTTATGTCGACACCTACTTGGCCCACATCGGGGTAGTCTGGGTGTCTTCTGTCAGTTCGTATTCCGTTAGTGTATCCTTCGTATTGGCCATATACTGCTGTGTTGGACCCACTGATTAAAACATTCTCCAGTTGAAGGCAAGGTTTATATGGCGGTAACTCGTCTGGAAATTAAATGCATACTACTGAGAACTGTACCATTAAATATCTGGCCAAAGTGTTGTTATCCTTTTTACATATGGTCCCTTACTTGCCTTTCAAAGGATCAAATTTTAGACATCAATAACAAACTGCATGGCTGTTGCTGGTTGAAAGACTTAAAGGTCTTTTACATATATTGCAAGTTATGCAAAGATATCAGAGAACAGCGTTTCTGAGAAAATGACTGACAAAAATCATATCCAGCTGACATCTGATTTTAGAATACAACAGAGCTGACATTCTGACATAAAATTGGTTGCAGCACTCCGAGTGGGCGGTAGACTTTTTAGCCTTAAAGTTTTAAAATTTGTTTAAATAAGCATAAGGGGGATTTATCTCTATTATTTATATCTATCAGTATTTTCATTATAAACTATAAATTACTGCATTCATTTCACTACGCCGTCTTGTATTTCTTTAATGCTTCATAGGTTGCTGAATTCCATAACTTCATTTATTTCAGTTTAATTTGTAGTACTTACCTTCCACCGCCATGACTACAGCGTAAATATACACACTGCACCCACTGCATCTTTTTCTCCAAGCCTTGAGAAACTGTACAGTGTTAGTAGAGGTGGTGAAAACAGAATCCGTCGAGTTCAGACCTACTGTCCAGTTTTTTACTGTATCCGTCAAAAGCAACTGATAATCAAGATAATTTGAGTAGATAATAAAAACACGCAGTTTGAGACCCGGTCTGGTTGTAAAGGTACCACATGGTCCATGTAAATAACTAACAAACGGCAGCATGTCACCTTCATTGGCCAGATGTGACGTCCCGCAGTCGTGTTTGTAGGGCGTGAAGTATGTTGTTGTAGTCCAACTGAGTGAAGATTGCAATAATACAGCATGTGAACTAATATCTTTCATGCTGGAATCCCTTAGAAATGCACTCAACGTATATGTTTCAAAAGCGTTGTTATCAATGTCTGCCATCACCATGTTAGACATACTCCGTTCCGTCCCGTCAACGTAGAGTTGTCGGATGCCTCCTCCAGATGTGAGAATAGCCACATTGCTAATGTTGTGTCGGTTAAAGTCCACCTGTAGAGAAGGACCTTTGCTGCTTGACCCGGAGTCAAGGTATCCAGCAAACTGCAGTACTGCATGTTTTATAGAGCTGGAACGAGCTGTCATACCTAATCGTATGCCGGCCCACGTTGAGTCCCGTGAATGTTTGGCGCAAACAACTCTGAAGAACGAAGCACATTTGTATCTTTGCATGCCCGTAGAGCAGTTATCTTCAAAGTTCGATTCATTTCGAGCGCAATGGAGTTGTAATCCCATCTTTGCCGTATCAGTAATCGTGTCTATACGACCAAAAAAGTGTAACCAAGTCGCTTGCATTCTTCTGCTAACCATGCGTTTAGCATTGGTCCTCTAATTGAAGAATCGTAACAAACTGGTAGTGTGCGTCCGTTTTCTTTACCGTAAAGTCGCCCGTAAAAAGTGTTAATATCATACCGATAAGGCTCCCGATACAACACAAACAGACCGGAATCTGCAGCTGGACATGTCATGTTTTTTGTTATAGCAGATTTTCCCTTAGCGGTAAAGATACACCTCTTACTTGCAGTCCCACTGACATTCAGTCTTCCCTCAACGTACATCCCCACAGAATCCTCAAACTCTAGAGCTACCCCTGGTTCTATGGTAAGGGTGGCGTTGGCTGTCACGTTCAAGTCACGTGTTACCGTGTACGGTCTATCAGTGTCATTAAGAGTAAGGTCGGTCTTAATGCGGCCACCGAGTGTGTAAGGAGGTGGTGTTGGATCCACGTCTGAGGACAAACTGGAGAGATCCGACGTGATATAGAAAGGTGTGTATAGAAATTCGGTTCTCAAAGTATAGAGCTTCGTATTGTCAAGAATTCCCGAATAAACAGCGAATGGATCTGATGTTCCCCAGTAATTTCGGGACACATCTAGTTTTCGTAAGACGGAGTTCTCATGCCAAGTTGCCAGTTGATATTCAACAGACGGGTTTTCGAAAATGTTGCTTGTAAATGTGAAAACAGTAACAAAGTTTTTGACTATCAGGCTGGCTCCGACCTGATGCCGTTTGTATATATTTCTCACATTGTTGTCTCTAAACGTATTTCCAGTCATGAACAAACTTGAGGCAGAAACACAGAGAACGCACTGGGACACATCATTATCAAATAACGTGTTGTTGAGTATTTCTGTGCTCACACCGGTTTCTATTAAAAAGGCTGCAGTCCCATTTGATTCATAAACAACATTTTCCATCACCTGGACGTTTCTGAGTCTGTGTGTATTACATCTGTAACTTGTACCCAACCTAATGGCAGTTGTACTTTGATTTTTGAAGACATTGCCAAACACTATGATGTCTGTTAGGGCACACTCTCTGGCATGTGGCATCCATATACCGAAACTGCTGTCTAGCAGGGTGTTATTTTGAAAAACGAACCTGACGTTGTTTGATAATATCCATACTGAGGCCGAGCCAACAGACAAAGCGTAGTTAGAGGAGTCATTAAACTCATTCTTGTCCACGGTAACATTCCTCTGGATATGTTCAAAGTACATATGGATGCTGTTATCCATAAAGACGCTGTCCTGAAGCACAATAGTACCAGACCCTTTCCCCACGTACAGGCCTGTCTCTGAGGAATGTGCGACACGAGCCTCTGAGATGAGAAGATGATGCAGTTGAGATTCAATGAGAATACCATTGGCTGCTTTCCTGATGTCCACGCTATGAACTGATAACCCAACTTGATCTGAATGAGCTGAAAAGGCACACACACACACACAGCTATTGCATACATTATTTTCGTATTACATTGTTTTTTAATGACCCTCTACCTTCGCTGGTTTCATTGATTTAAAACTTGTTATGACTGAAGCTGAAAATGTATACCATGTTCCCATTGACAGAGGCATAGTTACTGGTATAGGAATGCTATAGTGTAAATAATGCCATATGTACGTTGGTCTAAATCGTCCACTGTCATTTCCCTTCTTTAAAATGATATGGGTTTTAATCTTTGCTGCAAAGTTCCATAAAATTAGGCTTACAAAAAGTGTTCGCAAATACAGGTTCACTCACCTGCAACCGACTGGATTGAAAACATTCCTTGGTACCGTTCCCAAAAATTAATATTCAGTCTTGAGAATGACAACAAGACTGACCCGCCAGTTGTGTAGAGAGGAGACGGCATGGTTACCTCATCACCATACATATGCACTCTCTCAAGTCGCTCGTGGTTTGTACTGTTTCCGTCATATATATCCAGAATGTTAACATTTCCACGCCAACTTGTCCTTATATATAGTATGCGCACTGCCAAGATCTGCGCTGAGCTTCGGCTCCAAAACACCTACAAAATGACGATATAATACGATATAAATCTTTGACGTTGCGTTTGTCTATCCCCTAGCACGATGTCTCATACAAAGCGTCTTTACTCAATCATTGTCGGACAAAAACCTCAACGTTGTTACCTACAAAAAGATAGTAGAAGTAAATACAATTTGCTGGGCACTATCTAACAGTGACTATACAGCTGATTTATACCATACTTGTTGGTGATAAGGAAATGCTCTGCTCAATGCATCAATCCTCTTAATTACTCTAAATCCCTAAAGCCGGCGTAGTTTGCAATGATGAAAGGTTTTCAAGTCCACAGCAATGTCTGGCACTTTGGGTTAACGAATGAATTTACTGCCCTAGTAGAAAAGTCTCAAGAAAGAGCTCTTAAGACAATTTATCCTGATCTTGAATATGACGCTGCTTGTGAACATAGTAAACTTGAACTACTGAGTGACAGACGGCTCAATGCATGCAAAAAATTGTTTATCAGTATTTCAAATGAACCTGATCATAGACTGCATTATCTTTTACAACCAAAACAAAATGTCAAATATTCATTAAGGGAACAGGAAGCATTCAAAAAACCTAAAATTAAAACCAAACGATCAATGAGTGACTTTTTAACAAGTGCCATATACAAGTTTCAGAATTAACTGATAGACTTTTATTTCTTTTTTAAACCTTGCATTTTAGATATAGTGTTTTAAATGTGTTTACATATGTGTTTTAATATTCCTTTATTCTTACTTACTAATGGTTTTATTCAACTATGACGCAATGATTGTAATTATCCAACCCTCGGGTTGCAAGTTTGGTAATAATAATAATAAATAAAACATTTAATGAAAGAACATGGACTTGAAAATAAGGAAGACTTCATTTCCTTCTTAAAAATAAACCAGCAATGTTTCGTGAATTTTTTAACAGACTACACCCTCGCCTAACGAAACCAGTGCTGTAATAAGAACATAAATTTGAATATGTTTTAATCCTTATTAATCTTATAATACCCTTTAATATTTTCTTGTTCAAATACTTAATCTCTCTGAGGTTGCAAGGCCTGTGTGGTTACGGTCACACTAAACGAATCTTTGCAAATTGCAACTGTTACCGGTGGCAAAAAGGTCGGCGACTGGTTGCAACAAATAAACATTGGGTTAATATCCGGTTGCGCCGGTTTGCGGTGCAGCACCGATAACCTCCTGGCGACCGAAAAACCTACTTGCGGTATCCAATTCATGTATTTGTTTCATTGTTTACACAGATAATGTAGCTTTGCCAATTTTAAATGACATACAGCGATAAAACATTGAGGTTATCGGTATTTTACCTATGATTTTTACAAAATGAAAGAATAAATTAAACTTAGCGTCAAAAAAACGTGCATTAATTTTTAGCCTCACATTTATTTTATTTTTTGTTTCGTAAGTTTGAAATGCGTGGTATATGAAAGCCTTGGCAATTAGTGTAAAATCTTGCCAAAAATGCAATTTATGTTTTCTTTTTCTAAAATATTATAATTTATTATCTTGATATTTAAAAGGCATACATGCCAAATTATGGAAAAAATCTTTGCCCAAATAGACCACTATCCTACGCCTTTTTTATTGCAGTCGCTTGCTACCTTCCCGTGACATATTTTCGAATGCCTGCGACCGGTAAAAAACCTGTTAGCGACCAAGCCACTGGAGGCCGTCAATAGACCATGCAGTTACAGCTGCCACCTTCTAGCGACCTGTTGCCGACTACTTGTGACTGGTAAAAAAAACTTGTAAGCCACAAGACGACTAAATACTGTCAATCGGCCGTGCAGTTGCAAATCGTATGCTCTTGGTTATAGCAACCTACTGACCACCAAGAAGAGGACGATAGGAAAACTTAAGGATACCGATATTTTTCATCTTTAGTCGCACTGGTTGTCGTTGCACAAAAAAAAGGCCTTCATGTGTCTTCGATCGCAGGCAACCTGTTAGCAACCTTATGCGACCACTTTAAAAACTATGGCAACTCCTTGCGACTGAGGTTGCAAAGAGGTTGCCCAAAAGTTGCACGCACAGGGTGACACAGTCTTTAGATTACCTTTTTTGTCTTGCTGACGTTTGTTTTGCCTTTGTCCAAGATAACTTTGTACAAAAAAACCACATCCAAGCACAGGCTGCATGCGCTACATCTGAACTCAATCGAAAACTATTTAATAATATCCCTTTAGTTTTAACAAGGTTTACTTTCGTCTTCCAACGTACAAAGAGTGTTTAACGATTTTTTTTTTTTTTTTTTTTTTTTTTTTTTTTTTTTTTTTTTTTTTTTTTTTTTTATTTTTGTCAATCCCCTTTTTTTTTTTCCCTAAAAAAACGGGGAGATTTTTTAAATGTGGGGCC